AATGTACCATACTGCCCCAGACGAAGAAAAGACCATGTGGGAATCCCTAGGCGCAGTTAACCAAGCTGGAGTCTGGACCCTCCCCGATGGCAGAACTGTCCTTCCAAAAGCGTGGACTCCAAAATTAGTGAGGGTCCTCCACCAGCAAACACACTGGGGAAAAGAAAAGTTAATTGAACACGTTAAGAGATCCTGGTTTGCTCCAGGGATAGCTGCCGCAGCCACTGCAGCCTCCAAGAATTGTGCCACCTGCAGCGCATTCAACCCAAAACGCGAACCCAAAAGACCGCCAGGGGCCAGACAATGGGCCTTTGTCCCCTTTGAGAGTTTGCAATTAGATTTCATAGATTTGCCACAATGCCAGGGCTTCAAACATGCCTTGATCATAATAGACCAATTCTCCTCATGGGTGGAAGGGTTCCCCTGCCGAAAGGCCACTGCCTCAGTAGTTGCCAGAGCGCTCCTTCAAGACATTATACCCCGATACGGAGTACCCCGCCGCTTGGACAGTGACAGGGGAACCCACTTTACCGCAGAAATAGTACAACTAGTCGCCAGAGCCCTCCAAATAAAATGGGATTTGCATACCCCTTACCACCCACAATCCTCTGGTCAAGTAGAACGGATGAATCAGGAGATAAAAATACAGTTGGGAAAGCTCTGCAGAGTTACGGGACTGAAATGGGTGAATGCACTTCCACTAGTTCTACATAACATTCGAAGTGCCCCAACTGGACCATTAAAACTGTCACCGTTCGAACTCCTGTTTGGGAGACCCCCTCCCGTGTACAACACCCTATATCCCCTCTCAGAACTAGAAGTGGGGGAAACAGAGCTCACTAATTATGTCATTCAGCTCCAGACACAGCTAAAGCGTCTCCACCACTACGCGGCCGTCGAGGGACAGAACCTACCCATCGACGTCCAAGCCCACTCCTTTCATCCAGCGGACTGGGTTCTAGTCAAGGTATATCCGAAATTACCCCTACAACCAACCTGGGAAGGACCTTACCAGGTACTGCTGACTTCACCAACTGCTGTAAAAGTCGGGGAGAAGGCCGCGTGGATACATCACACGAGGTGCAAGTCGGCACCACCTCCCCTGGAGACTCAGGACAGCCACGGGGAGGATTACACCTTCGACACTCCGCCCTCCCCGCCAACCTCCTACATCGACGACGAGGAACTAGCTGCAGCAGATCGGGGCCAGAATCGGGCCCAACAGACCGGAGCAGCAGATCGGGGCCAGAGTCGGGCCCAACAGACCGGACCAGCAGATCGGGGCCAAGGTCGGGCTCAACAGACCGGACCAGCAGATCGGGGCCAAGGTCGGGCTCAACAGACCGGACCTGCAGATCGGGGCCACAGTCGGGCTCGACAGACCGGACCGGACGCCGCGACACCCAACTGGACATCTGAGATCGTCCCAGACACCGACGCCCTCAAGCTACGTCTCAAACGCTGTAACACCTCATTTGACAGCTCCACTGACAGCGCGCTTTGACAGCTCCGTTGACAGCTCCACTGACAGCGCGCTTTGACAGCTCCATTGACAGCTCCACTGACAGCGCGCTTTGACAGCTCCGTTGACAGCTCCACTGACAGCGCGTTCCCACGGCCTTTCGACCCCTTTATACCCCATACTTTCCCATCTCAGGACTCCAGCCATGAACTTCTTCATTTTCCTTGTCTACCAGACTTTGACCCACTCCTCAGCCATGCCAACTGATCATTGCACTGGCTTACCCACGGATTACCATTTCCTGGACTATCACCGACTCGAGACGGGTGGAAAGTCAAACCCTGACCGAATGGGGGACTTTGACTTTTGCCTCCCCGAGTCTCGGACATTGCTACGACATTCCCTCGTACCCCGGCTAACAGACAACGAGTATTGGGAACTTTTCATCCGGGACCAAACCCTACACCGAATTGGGTCAGCCGCGGTCACCCTCGACCATTCTTACTACCGCCTCACTTGCAAAAACGGGACCCATTTCCTTTTCGGCAACGGGGAACTTTTGAGGAACCCTAACTGGACCGAAATCGAGAAAGGGGGGGCTGCACCATCCTACACCGACGCAACCAATCCTTCCGACAACTTGATTTTCGGATTCCAATGTCTCCTCATGACCCCGGAACCTCGAAAACCCCAACTCCAAGGACTTTGCGTAAGAAAGTTCTGCTGCCTTTGGAACCTCGGAGTTACCCACGACTGGAGAGGGGCAGAATACCTAGAGGGTTGGTACCATCCAGCACATCCCTCACGCTCCCCCACGTGGGATAACGTTGGACCTTTGCGATGTGGGGGCATAGCCAAAAACAGGCGCCTCCTGAATACCACCGACCCCCTTCATCCACTCGGCACAGCACCACGAAAACTCGGCGCGGACCCGTCCTTCCCAGGAGAAGATCTCCTTTCCTCCTGGGAACAGAACTCTTACATTAAACTCATCGGCCAGGTGGCCAAGGAGGCACCCTACCCTGAATGTTGGATCTGCGCCCACGCGCCCAGCCACCTTCAACAGAGCCTTCCCCTCGTTCCTGTCCCAGTTACCATAGAACAATTCCGGTCAGGGGACGTCGCCTCCTGGAACCTGACCGCGTTGAACTTGACCCACCAATACCTTTACCTCACTGGCCCGACTAAGGGCCCACTCTGCCGCACCTTCGCCGGGGAAGGGACCTTCATCGGCTCCAGTACCTGTACGTCCAACTTAGAACTCTTACCCACCGGCCATGTCACCATCACGGACGTGACAGGATCCCGGACCTTCCCAAACCTCACCCTTGCTTGGGCCGCTGCCATCGGCCACCCTCCAATCTGGCAGCCTCAACCCGCCGACGCTATGCTACTGCAAGCCTTCGCCTCAGGAAGAATGGAGTCGTATCTCAGCGGCTTGTTTTGGGTATGCGGCCATCGCGCATATACCTGGGTGAGCCCCCATATGTCCGGATCCTGCTTTGTCGGATACATCGTTCCCGGCATAAGAGTAGTGCCACATCTACCCCCTGGGAGACAGAGGAACAAAAGGGAAGAAAAACAACTGTCTGACTTATCCGATGTCGCTGCAAACGGGGAAACCGTGGGTCGAGCACTCTTTCCTGCCTACGGGGCAGGATCCAACCACGTCGACATCCTTCGGCTTACTGACATCCTCCTCAAATTCATGCAGGAGGCAACTGAGATCACGGACTCCCTGATGTCAGAACTGTCTGAGGTGAGACAGCTAAGTTTACAGACGAGAATCGCTACGGACTTTCTGCTGTCTAGCCAAGGAGGAACGTGCGCCTTAATAGGTACCGAGTGTTGCACATATGTAACTGACCAAACTTTAAACATTACTGGACATCTGAATAACATCCACGAATTGGCAGGAAGACTAAACGAGATACAACACGAGGGACTGTCTGACGTCGACTTGTGGGGATGGCTGCCCAAGCTGGGGTGGCTCCGACAATTGATCAAGGTCATATTACTCACAATTCTTACTGTTGCCTTTTGTATCTCAGTGTTCTGTTGTGCCATACATTGTGTCTCTCCTTGCTGCTCTCTTCTCCGCTTCCCTGCTCAATCTGCTCCTCTTTCCTTTCGAGCCTATTCCCGCTCCCACAACGCTCCTATCTTTCCTGAATATGTGCAAATGAGACATCTGGGAGAAGGGGAGTATGAAATCACAGGGGTATAGGATGCGGAGAAAGGATTTGCAAGTTCTTACAGAACTTTAATGCAAATCTATCTCCGAATGGGGGACTGATACGGAAGGAGAGGGGGGGGCAACCATCCTCCCTCCATCGCTTCCTGAACGGGCCCGAGGCGATGACCTCGACAGTGCCCAACTCTGCCTAGAACCCTCAGCCCCCACATCGTTGCACAAGCACCACACTATACCCCTGCCTTGTTAATAAAAGGCTCCTTTTCCTTTCTCTATACGGGCGAAATAAGCCCCGATCTTGTCTATGCCTTCCTCTCGCCCTATTCTTAACGTGAGTAGACCGCATCATAATGAAACTCCATTCACTATACTGGGCCCCGCTTTAGCCAATCACAGCCATGCATTAGCCCTGCAGGAGCTAGCTCAGGGAGCTACTGCACGCCTCATTTCACTCCTGACAAGCTGCTGACGGCCCCCCACTGTGAGAACAATGGATCCGAAACCAGGGACCTCGTAAAACTGTCAAAATCCGGTTACAATGTATCCATTCTGTTTCCGTTTGTCAGAATCTTGTTACAATGTATCCATTCTGTTTCTGCTATTGCCCTATAGTACGGAATGGGTTTGAAATCATTGAAATCTTTAGAAATTGATATAAAATCAACCGTAACTCCGATTTCCTCACTTTTGGTGTCATTCAACTCAGCTCCCTTTGGACTCCATGATGCTGTCCCTACTGCCATAATCCCCAAAGCGGCAGGTCACGTACACAGGAACTTCTAAATCCTGTCAGATCGTTTCGCCAAACCCTTCCTCCGGGCAATACGAAGTGGCAGACGATGCAAATCTCTAGCCCATTGTCTTGCCACCACCGGTACTCAATAAATGTTTATCTATGTACATTTCTTCGCTCTGCATATTCCCCCTCCTCCTCCGAAATGCTAATGAGTGTAACCCCACCTTTTCTTTATCTATTCATGACGTGTAAAATATATTCATGATGTAACTCACGAAGCCCAACCTTCCCAAAATGTATTCATGACGTTTCCTGCACTGTATTCTGGGTTATGGAGGGAACTTTTAAAAGTCTATGTCACCCCACTCTCGGGGTTCAATGTCAGTTTGAACCTGTTGCGCAATAAACTTTGGGTCTCCGCAGTTTGCTCCTGTGTCCGGCTGAGCTTACTTTTCCCGCTAGGACCCGCGGACTTAGTCCGACGAGCTGGGTGGCAGGGCAACTCCGTACCCAGATTTTAGCCGTAACAGTTGATATTCTGAATTGTTAGCAGACGCCCCAAGAGCTGTGTTTCTGGTGAGGAGTCAGGATGAAAATAAGTGCAAGCGCTGTATCAAAACCTTTTGTCTTTATTTTTATTTAAAGATTGTACACAGCCACTCCCCCCCCCCCAGTATCATCTCGCATTGCTAACACCAGAGCTGGTTGTTGGCCCCACGTGGTCCACGTGCAAGCTGAAGCCACCGAGAAAAGGACCAGCCACACCCCAGGCTGGCCCCCTGCCCCTGAGAGTCACAATCATGACTTAAAGCAGGACCACCACAAAAGAACCAGGATCCGGTTACCCCAGCCCAAGCTCCCCCTCTCCTGCAAGCTCTGAGCAGCTGCCCAGCCCGCCCCACACCCAGAACTATGAACCGTGGCTGCAGCTGCCGCAGACGTCAAATCCCACAAGACCAGGATATTCCCCAAGCAGGCATCCCCTACAGAGTCCAGCTGATGGCTTCAGGAGGCCTCACCCGCCTGCCCCCGAGTTTCACATTTCTGAAATCACAGTGGCACCCAGCAGGATGGAAGGGAAATCTCCCCTGGCTGCCCCAGGGAAGTCCCGTCCAAAGTGGATTGGGGCAGGCCAGTTCAAGCACAGGGGCGGCGTCAGGGGGCTACTTCCAGAAAAGCACATTCCAGAGCAGAAGCCAGCAGGGGTAGACGAAGATGGCGATGAAGGGGAAGACGATGGAGCCGTAGAGGTGGTGGTCCAACAGCCCTTCAGCAATCGCCTGCAAGAAGCGCTGCCAGCCCTCCAGCAGGGAGATGGGGTACTCAATGAGCTCCTGGTACAGGAAGATGCAGAAGAGAAGTGTGGCCGCTGGCGTGACCAGGACCAGCAGCGCAGCGTAGAGGTACCTGGGGGAGGAAACAGGGAAAGAAAGCTCTGGGCTCCTGCGGACACACGGGCAGGGCAGGCCCGCCCCGAACGGGCAGGATGTCTTGTGGGGTTTGTTGTTAAAATTTGCATACCACCCTTTGCCTGTAGATCTCAGGGCAGTTCACAAGATAGAAATACAAGATAAAAACAGAGAATACACAAGAAAAACAAGAAGAAAAGCATTTCCAAGTCGCACAGAACAACTTCATCCCTCCCTGCTACTTCAAGATGAAAACCCAGGTGTTACATACTCAATTGCTAGATTTTGCGCTGCCATGATGGATATTCGTCAAAGGGTGGTTTGCACCACAAACTAGGCCCCAAATGCAAGACCTGTGCTCCTTCACGCTCCCTCTCTTACAGTCACTTTTTTTTTTAATGCATTTTTATTGAAGTTATACACAAAAACAGACATATAAGAAAATACAAAGAGAAAATTACAAAGAAAAGAGAAAAGGAAAAAACAACAACACTCATCCGAAAAAAGAAAAACACACAATCTGAACTTCCTTCCATCCTTTTGATAAGTATCAAATATCTCCTTCCATTACGTATTTGATTTTCAATCTATAGTCTTAAATTCACTCGCTGGTCGTATTGTTCTAACCCCGTCAGTTCACTTTAAACATTTATTCCAATATATTTCCAAAATTTGCTCCAATTTTTCAGAAGTTTCTGTTCATCCTGATCTCTTATTTTACCTGTTAATTTGTCAAGCTCAGCATAGTTTACCATTCTAATCTGCCAGTCCTTTATGTTGGGGATAGTTTCCACTTTCCAATATTGTGCCAACATAATTCTCGCTGCTGTGGTGGCGTAGAGGAATATCGTCCTATCTTCCTTTTTAATTTCTTTATCCATCATTCCCAACAAGAAGGCTTCAGGCCTCTTGGGAAAGGTATACTTAAATATTTTTTTAAGTTCATTATAAATTGATTCCCAAAAGCCTTTCACCTTTTTACATGTCCACCATAAATGATATAGGTCACCCTCCACCTCGCCACATTTCCAGCATCTCTTGTCCTTTAATCTATACATTTTGGCCAGTTTCACAGGGGTGTGGTACCATCTATATAGCATCTTCCAGATATTTTCTCTCAGTGCCATACATGCTGTGAACTTTATGTTACAATTCCAAACTTCTATCCACCTTTCGAAATCAATATTATAACCAAAGTCAATTGCCCATTTAATCATTGCCTCCTTCACCTCCTCGTCCTTTGTGTACCACTCTAATAGTATATCATAAATTCTGGACAGGGTTTTGTTTTTGCCTTCTATTACTTCTATATTAAATTTTGATTTTTTATCATCAAAACCCACCTTCCTCTTATCCTCTTTTAACAAATCATTCACCTGGTGGTATTGCAGCCAACCAGTGAATAAATTTTTTATTTCTTCATAAGGTCTAAGTTTGGGCCCTTGGTCTGTTTTCTTAACATTTCTTCATAGGTGGCGTTTATCTCCTCCATATTTATTTTCTTGACCGTTAAAGCCTCTATTGGTGAAATCCACCATGGGGTCTTTCTTTCAAGGAGGTTTTTGTTCCTTTCCCATGCTTGATATAATGGTCCCCTAAAAATATGGTCTAAGAAACTCTTGTGGACTTTCACTTTCCCATACCAAAGGTACGAATGCCATCCGTACCGATTATTAAAGCCTTCCAGGTCCAGTAGCTCTCTATTCTCCAGTTTTATCCAATCTTTTAACCAAAGTATACAAGCCGCTTCATAGTATAAGCTTAGGTCCGGGAGAGAAAAACCCCCTCTTTCTTTTTTATCTATCAAAATTTTCATTTTTATCCGTGGCCTTTTCCCCTGCCAAATATACTTTGCCAAGGCTCTCTGCCACTCTTTACATTGTTTTAGGCCTTTAAGTATGGGGATGGTTTGGAATAAAAATAACATTCTGGGCAGAATGTTCATTTTAACAACAGCTATCCTCCCCAAAAAGGAGAGTTTCATCCTCCCCCAAATTTCCATGTCTTTCTTTATAACCTCTTACAGTCACTTTTAACCGTTTGTACTTGTTTCTATCTTTTAAAGTTAACTACTTAAGTTAACTAATCTTTTAACTACTAGTTTTTATCCCTTACCTCATTTAAGTTTTACGTATTCTATTTATCAGTATTTTTTATCTTATGCAGGTCTGTGACCACAATAAAGTTTGATACTGATACTGAGGAACAAAAACAAACCGAGAACCCCCACCTTCCTAAAGCAACCGTTCCTTCTTCAGCCACGGACAGGGTTGAAACACCCACCGCCCAGAAGGACAGGACCAAGGGTCCAGGGCCACAAATTTGAAAAGCTGAGAAGCTTACCTGGGGGACACACTCCCCCCCCCTCTAAATTCCGCAACACCCCCACAGAAGGATAATGGGGAGGACTCTATTCCTGCAAAGCACCTTTTGGACAAAAGAGTCCTATTTGTATCTCCATTTTGAAACTAAGGCCAAACACATCGTCCTGATGTGGGCAGCTCTGCTTTGCGTGTCCTGAGGAAGCCCGATATACAGAAACAAATCTGGCTCTGTGAAGCGTTTGCCTTCTTGCTTCTTCCTCTGGACAGGCCCTTGGCTTTCCCCACAAAGAACTGGCCAAGAAGAGGGGGAACACAGCCGCTTCATTAGGCCAGGGAAGGGGAGGCTGCAAGTGCCCAACTTATGCCCTTAGGCTACAGCTGCCACCTTCCCCAACGTGCTGGCTGCAGCTGAGGGCAGCTGCGAACTCCCAGCAACACTGAGAGGCCTCTGTCTCCCCTTGCAGCTGTAGGACAGAGCTCAGGGGGAGGAGCGGCAAGGAGACACCCCGTCCTCTGCCCTGGGCAATTCTGGTGATCCCTGTCCTTTGCAGCCCAGTTCTTGTGGGGTGGGGGCAGAGAGGGAAGCAGGAAGCAGCCCCAGGGTGTACGTACTTGGGCCCCGTAGGCTGGACAAGGGCAGCGACAGGCACCATGGTGACGGCCAGCAGGAAGCCCAGGGAGAAGTTGATGAGGGCGATGCAGCCCAGCTGCATGGCCAGGTAGAGGAGCGAGACCAGCTTCAGCGTCATCCAGCCACGGTCGCTTCCCGAGCCCGTCAGGACCCTGCAGGGCAGAGAGACAGAGCCAGTCCGCAGGCGGCACAACCACAGCCCCTTGAAAAGAAGAGCAACAGCAGCCTGGCGCTTGCCCCAGAGAGCGCTGGGCAATCAGGCACCCCTTCAAGCTCTGCACGTCTCGCCCTCTCCCTGCACACAAGTCGCACAGGGCCCACACCTGGCCGGGCCGTCTCCTCCCCTCCCTCCCCGTCACCTGTGCGTGTTGTGGGGCAACGCCAGCCCCGCCACGTAGATGGCAATGACCGTCAGCACCACAGCCTCCGACTCCGAGACGGGGAAGTGCTGCGTGGCCACCTGCTGCCCCAGGATGGGCACGAAGTAGAGGGCGAGCCCCGTGGCATGGCAGATCAGCAGCGGGGGCACCAGCGTCAGCAGGCTGGGCTTGGGATCCTGGGTGAGAGAGGAGGGCAGAGGGGTCAGGAGAAGGGCCCCCTCCCAGAATGGGAGGGCCAGGAGTCGCGGCTAAGGCTGGTGTGGTGTAGTGGTTTAGAGCGGTGGACTCGTAATCTGGTGAACCGGGTTCGCGTCTCCGCTCCTCCATATGCAGCTGCTGGGTGACCTTGGGCCAGTCACACTTCTCTGAAGTCTCTCAGCCTCACTCACCTCACAGAGTGTTTGTTGTGGGCGAGAAAGGGAAAGGAGACTGTTAGCCGCTTTGAGACTCCCTAAGGTAGTGATAAAGCGGGATATCAAATCCAAATTCTTCTTCTTCTTCTTCTTCATGTGGGGCGAAAACAATCTCACCCTTTCCTCCAAAGAAGAACTCATTGTGCATTTGGAGGATCTCTGCTGGAACAAGTGCAGCTACTGCACTGAAAACAGGACGACTTTGACCCCCCACAGCATGCCTGGCCTAGGCTAGAAGAGGGGAGGGGCCTGGCAAAGCCTGGCTCTTCAGGGCCTGCAGACTCGGGAGGATCTTCAAGCGCATTTTAGTCTCAGTGTGTCCAGGGAGCATCACATTTCCAAGCCGTTCTCTTCCTCAACCAGCCATGGCTTTTTGGGGTGCTCTCTCTTTGTTGCCCATGCCATGTAGGGGTGCAAATATCCAGAGTGTGGGGGTCAGGTGGGATTGCTATGAGGAATTATGAAAAATGGAGCAAGCCATTGTGACAGCAATGAAAGCATGGTGTTGACTGGGTCTGATTCATTGACAATAATTTCTGATCAAATCCCACAAGTCTCTGCACCTCGGCCATTTGCTTTCTCTGTGCCTGACAGGCAGGTACAAGCATTCTGAAATAGACCAGGCATCCTGGGTCATAAAGATAGAAGGTAGCTTTGATGTAGATCTTAAGGGCCAGGAAGAGAGTTCACAAGGAGATGGTAAATACTGTTTACTCCTGTTTATGACCTCCGGGGTTTTGCTGAACGCATTCCTCCTTTTATTCCTATTTTATTTACTCTGAACTACATATGCGTGCTCAAGTAGGAAATAGTTTCTTTGTAGTTAAAAGGATTTCTTCTGATCTGACTTTGTCCCACGTGGGGTTTTTTGAAATGCTCAGAGGAAATCTGATTGGTTCTTACGAACACTGTGTAAAAAGTTCTTTGGTGAATAAAATGACCTGGACCAAGGAGTGGAGAGGGATTATTATTGGCACCTCCTCCCAGAGTTTTGCTGGTCAAGCCTCTGTGGGTATTTTATTAATCAGAGTCCAATCCTTCCTTGCTTTGGGAACGCTACAATGCCATGCGTTGGAAGCAGCCAGTGTGAGAGGACTGCCAGAAGCAGACAAGCAGCACCCATGTTTTTTTCGGGGGGGGGGCAGGATTACAGGAATGGGCTGTGCAGGGCTCCGGGCTGACTGCAAGAGGCGAGAAATGCCCATGCAGGTCCTTTCCCCCACCGACTCCCTTCTCCGCCCCCTCCCCAGGGCCACCGCCACTCCCCGCCACATCATCTCACCTCCAGAGCAACAAGACTAGGACCTTGGTCTCCGTCGCAGAGCCGGTCATCTGGGTCCACGTCGTAGCGGCTCAGCTTCATCCACAGGTCCAGGGCGTGAAGAGGAAGGAGGAGTCAAGGGAAAGGCAGGGCCTCAGAGGACGCGTTGAGCCAAGCCAGGAACTCCCCTCACCCAAATCCTAGGGGACACCAACCAGACATCCCCTCCCCAAGTATCCAGAGGAGCACCACGGGGGGTGGCCTTCCAGGGTCTAGCTAAGGGGATGCCAGGGAACCTAACATCCCTTGCCCCCTTGTCAGAACACCTCTGGCATTTGCTGCAAGGGTGAAGCTCTGCTGAGATGAATGGCAAGCGGAGGGAGACACACAGGACAGAGTGAGGCTGAGCCTGGTCAGCCAGACACAGGGGGCACCCAAGGGAGGCCTCTCGCCCGCTGATAGGGGCTGCAGCAAACCAGGGCTGCTCCTGAAGGGCTTGGCTGCCAGGCCTATGGGCTGCAGTTGCTGCATGGAAGAGAGGAGTCCAGAGGGATGCAGTGTTCCTTCTGGCACAGGAACAACATCGCACAAGGACGCTGTCCGGCTGAAGGGTAGGGCTGGCAGCCTGGCACCACGGAAGTCTGCTCAGGCCACCTTCCCAACAGGGGATGCCCCAGGCCCCATCAGCTTCTGTTCTTCCACGCAGCTGGTCAGGGCAGAAGCTCCAGAGCCTGTACTGTCCTCTGGCTCCCAAGAGGTACAGAAAAAGCCACCCTCAGGCCAGAGGACCCTCGAGTTGGGCTCCCCAGCACCTCCCTGCAAGGCCCCAACTCTTGGGGGTCAGAGGGAGCCTCTCCTGAGACCATCAGTCCGCCTGCTTCCTGGGGAGTCCTCCACTATGTGGCCCCACAGCTGGGCTCCTCAAGTGGGAGTTTCTCCTCTGACCCTCCCAACTCAGAAGCATCAAGAGACAGAAACTCCCCCCAGCCCCCCTCCCTGCTCCCCACACAGCAGAGGAGGATATCTTGAGGACCAGGATGAGGATGAGGAACCCGAAGGCCGGCATGTAGAGCCCGATGGAGACGAAGCGGGAGAGAGACGGGAGCAGGTAGAAGAAGTACGACTGGTGGAGGCGCTCCAGCAGGTTGTTCAGCTTCCGGAACATTCCCTCCAGGGTCCTGGGGAGGGCAAGGGATGGGGTGAGAGGCAGAATTCGTGGCTTTGAAAGAGGATGAGACCAATTCATGGAGGAGGAGAGGACTATGGATGGCTACTGGCCAGGATGGCTCGGCTCTGCATCCACAATCGGAGGCAGAGGGCTTCTGAGAACCAGTTGCCGGAAAGCACAGGAAGGGAGAGAGCAGCTCCTGGGTTCGAATCCTGCTTGTGGCCTTCTTCCCCTTGGGGCATCTGGTTGGCCACTGTGAGAACAGGAGGCTGGACTAGAGGGGCTCTTCTTTGGCCTGAACCAACAACCAGGCCCCACTTATGCTCTCATGGAACCTCCAAGCCCAGAGGCAGTCTACCTGGATTCCTAGGTTTTCAGGGGCATTCTGCCACTGGGAGAGCAGGATGCCAGACTAGAGGGGCTCTTCTTTGGCCTGATCCAGTACCCATGCCCTTCTGATGTTCGCCTCCTCCTCCTGAGGCCGGTGTGGGCGTATCCCAACCCTTCTCAGCTTCCACACAGGCCAAAGTCTGCTCCCCAAACAGGGTCCTTCGCCCCCACACCCTGCCAAGGCCTCCTACTCACGTGCCAACCATGCCCATGTCAAACTTGTACTGGCGGAAGCTGTTGATGCCGCGCAGGGTGATGGCCTCAATGTGGTAGCGCAGGAAGAGCCCGTGGTCTCCCTGCGGCCGGCCGGAGCCCTGCTTGAGCACCATCAGAAGCATCGTCTGCAGAGAGTGGACGAAGGCCGGCAGGGAGTCCCAGTCGGTCCGCTGCAGCTGGAGGGGAGCGGAGAGGGGGCTCAGGACACTCCTGCCCTCACAACCTAGGAGCGGAGAAATCCACCCCACGGACAGGACAAGAGGCAAGGCCGGAGCCTCCCCTCCAGCCAGCTGGGGCCACCTCCCTCGCAGGCCTTTGCCTAGGGGGCTCTGGGCAGGGCCCAAATGGCCTCCCCCTCCAGCAGCCCCCCAGGGCCCCCCCTTCCCACCCACCTTGCCCTGAATGGTGCAGAGCAGCCCGTTCTTCTGGCAGAAGGAGTAGAAGAGGTTGACGAGGTCCAGGTTGGGCAGCTGCCCGTTCAGCCCCTCCACGGCCACGTCAAAGCTGGTGATGATGTCGCTGCTCAGCTCCAGGGAAATGGCGGCCTGGATGGCTCCTGCCCGACCCAACATCCCTGACGAGTGCACCTCTGCGGGGGGCGGGGGGAGAGAAAGGATGGCCCCAGGTTGCTACAATAAAAGCTAATGAGGGTGATGGCCGTTCGCATCACGGGGCAAGGGGGCGCTGCCCTTCATTCCCAGAGGACGGGAGCCAGTCGTTCTGCGACAGGGCAGGGCAGAAGCCCGGGGGGGGGGGCGGGGATTAGGAAATGAGCCTTTGCGGTTGGATAATAGGACCCTGGAAGAGCTGGCTGGGTCTGGGCCAGGCCTAGGGAATGCAGGCAGAGGAGAGAGCGAAAGAACTGGCGGGGAGACACATGGGGGCCGCTCTGGAGAAACAAGAGGAGGGAGGAAGCAACTTCCCTCCCCCCCAGCAGCTCCAAGGCGGGTGCTCCAGGCAGACTCCCCCAGGGCGGCGGGGCAATCCCCCCAGGCAGCGCCCTCTCACCTGTGACGTTGACGTCATGATAAGCCTCCAGCCAGGCCTCCATCCCAATCAGGTCGTGCTCGTTCACCAGGAAGATGATGTCTTTGGCCCAATAGATCTGACCTAGGACAGAGGGGAAGCTCAGCAGCCCCCATGAACCCCCTGGGCAGGCCCAGCACTGGCACACCCCCCCCCAAAGGAAGCAACAGGCAGAGCCGGTTCTTCCCTCCCAGCCAGGGGAAGGGAAACCAGGGAGGAAGCTGGATCCTACCCCGTCTCTTTCTAAGAAATTTCATGCATTATAGTTCCGGGCAGGTTGAGATACGGAAAACCCAGATTTAAACTGGCACAAATGCAAATGATTCCAACTGGCTTGGATTGCACTCCTCCATTTTTTCGGAAACAAATAGAGGGGAACAGGGGACAACACCCCCCACCCCCGGCCTTCACATCTCTAGCTTAGCCTTGATCAGCCGAAGGATCTCTAAAGGCCTGGCAAAGGGCAGCCATCAGCCCCACCCCTCCCAGCTCACCTCGGAAGTGGGAGGCCAGCGCCAGCATCAGCCCCACAGCCTGGTTGTTCTGCTGCCCCTCACTGCAGGGGACGCTCAGCACCAAGGACTCCGTACTGGCTGCCCGGGGAGCCCGCAGGATCCCATAGACGTTGGTGCCCTTGACCATCTGCAAAGAGAAGGGCAGCCCCCAGGGTTCATCTCCCCAGCAGCGGAACAGCCGCACCCCGGCCCACCCGCCTGCCCATGGAGGAGCCTGGAAGCACCTACGTATCTCTCTCGCATCTCGTCGGGGAAAGGCAGTGTGCGGGAGAAGGACTGCTTGTACACCTCCAGGCCCAGGTTCCACATGGTCTTCTCCAGCCAGGCCACCGGCATGCCCCTGGGGAGAGAGGAAGGGGCACCAGGGGCGGGTGAGCGCCCAGCTCTCCTCTTCTGCTCCACCAGCTTTCACAGCAATGCCCCCCTTGAGGAGGGAGGGGGTCTCGACCTGGTGGCAGAAGGGCCAGTTAGGCTGGCTGAGCTATCCTACACTGTGTCACCACAGTATGAAGAGAGATACAAGGAAATCATCTGCATTACACTTTAATAATAATAATAATAATAATAATTACACCCCACCCATCTAGCTGGGTTTCCCCAGCCACTCTGGGAGGCTCACAGCACATATGAGAACATACTCAAACATCATTCCTTAAAAACTTCCCTATACAGGGCTGCAGGGGGACGCGGGTGGCATTGTGGTCTAAACCACAAAGCCTAGGACATGGGTAGGCAAACTAAGGCCCGGGAGCCGGATCCCAATTGCCTTCTAAATCTGGCCCGTGGACGGTCCGGGAATCAGCATGTTTTTACATGAGTAGAATGTGTGCTTTTATTTAAAATGCATCTCTGGGTTATTTGTGGGGCATAGGAATTTGTGCATTTCCCCCCGCAAAATATAGTCTGGCCCCCCACAAGGTCTGAGGGACAGGGGACCGGCACCCTGTTGAAAAAGGTTGCTGACCCCTGGCCTAGGGCTTGCTGATCAGAAGGTTGGCGGTTCGAATCCCTGCGATGGGGTGAGCTCCCATTGCTCGGCCCCTGCTCCTGCCAACCTGGCAGTTCGAAAGCATGTCAAAGTGCAAGTAGATAAATAGGCACCGCTCTGGCGGGAAGGTAAACAGCGTTTCCATGCATTGCTCTGGTTCGCCACAAGTGGCTTAGTCATGCTGGCCGCATGACCCAGAAGCTGTCTGCGGACAAACGCCGGCTCACTTGGCCTATAGGGCCAGATGAACACTGCAACCCCAGAGACATCTGCGACTGGACCTAATGGTCAGGGGTACCTTTACCTTTATACAGGGCTGCCTTCAGATGTCTTCTAAAAGACAGATAGTTGTTTATTTCCTTGACATCTGATGGGAGGGTGTTTCACAGGGAGGGTGCCACCACCGAGAAGGCCCTCTGCCTGATGCATTTCAGCACCTGCGTACTTTACATCATGTGCACATTTGAAGAACCCTGTTCTCAGCTTTTATAAAGGAAATATCTTGCACTGTCTCCATAAGAAATCCAGGCTTGGGTTTGGGTGGACCTTCAATGGAAGGAAACACTCAACACTGACAATTTATTCTTCACTATATAAGGGTTTAGGAACGCGGGTGGCGCTGTGGGTAAAAGCCTCAGCGCCTAGGGCTTGCCAATCGAAAGGTCGGCGGTTCGAATCCCCGCGGCGGGGTGCGCTCCCGCTGCTCGGTCCCAGCGCCTGCCAACCTAGCAGTTCGAAAGCACCCCCGGGTGCAAGTAGATAAATAGGGACCGCTTACCAGCGGGAAGGTAAACGGCGTTTCCGTGTGCTGCGCTGGCTCGCCAGATGCAGCTTGTCACGCTGGCCACGTGACCCGGAAGTGTCTTCGGACAGCGCTGGCCCCTGGCCTATAGAGTGAGATGGGCGCACAACCCTAGAGTCTGTCAAGACTGGCCCGTACGGGCAGGGGTACCTTTACCTTTACCTTATATAAGGGTTTAAAGAGGAGGCAAGGCTTATCCACACCTCAGAAAAGTATCTGCAGAATGCTCACTTTCTATTGCCATTGTTAAGAGATTGGAAGCCAGTTGCCAAGGTATGCCAAGCCCAACCCACTGGGGTCAGAAAGGCCCTAAACTGCACTGGGGGCAAAACTGCTTCTTCCCTTCGATATCCCACTCCTGGCAGAATGGAAGACTTTCCTTCTTGTAGAGTCAGGGAGCGGTGGGGTTTCTCCGAACCTGATGGGCAAGACTCTGGGTCAGCAATGCTGGGGGGGCACCAAAATGCCTGCTCTGAGCCACTGGGTTCATCTGGGGGCTGCAGAGGCCCGAGAGTGCCAGCCCCGGACGCACTCGGGGTGCGTCCCAGAAGGTCCTCTGCCCCCCAGGGGGCTCCCAAGCCCCTCACTTACCCCGCCTTCTTCTTGTGGCCGGCAAACTCCCGGGCGTAGGAGAGGGCGCGCTCCCCGTGGACGAAGTGCTCCTCCACCATGGTGGAGCCCATGGCGTTCTCCGACATGTAGATGCGCAGCGTGAAAGGGTGGAAGGCCAAGCCCAGGAACCAGCCCAGCCCCACCAGGAAGCTGATGATGCTGCCGAGAGGAGGAGAGGGAGGCCGTTGGGGGGCAGGAAGCTTGCTGGGGGGGGGGCAGGGGGGCTGTGCCCCAAGGGAGCCCCCCCCCAGGTCTTGCCCCGATGCTACTCACCAGAGCGGGGTGTTGAGGCGCAGCAGGAGGCGGGAGAGGGCCCGCCGGCGGTAGGGGTCCGAGAGCAGCCCCATGGCCGCGCAGAGCTCTCAGGGCCCTGGGGGGCAGAGAAGGGGGGGGCAAGGCCATTAATAATAACAGTAGCAGCAACAACATCCACCCCTCCCGTCCCCCCCCTTCCCCGTTTCATTGGCTCTGCTCTCTCCTCGGGCTCAGACCTGACAGGGACCTGGGTTCGAATCCCGCTCCCTCTCACCCGGCCTCCCTCGCAGGGCCCTTGGGGGGCCAGACAGGCGGGACAAGGACCCCCCCCCATGCGAGGGGCGGGGCGAGGGAGGTGGGCGGGGAAAACCGGGCCCCGCACCCACCGTCCAGGAGGGGCTCCTTCCGGGGCGGCCGAGCGCACGGGAGCAGCGAGAGGAGCCGGCCAGAGCGGCTCCCCGGGCCCTGGCGGAGGGGAAGCGGAAGGGCGGGCGCGGCAAGGAGCCCGCCGGAGTTCCGCCTCCGGAACGACCGCTCCAGCCCACGGCGGAGTCTATGGTCTGGCGGCGCTTCCGGGCCTAAGAAGGGCGCAAGAGGTCCTCTGAGCGTGTGCAGAGTGCACTTGGGGCCTCGCTCGCCGAGGGAAGCTGCGCTTCCTGCACTGCAGAGACCCGCTTCCAGCTCTCCTTCTCCGCCTGGGGGATTGTGATTTCATTTCATTTTGCATTCCTCCCCGGAGCTGGAGGCAGGCAGCAGAAGCAGCAGGCAGAGGCAGCAGAGGCTCCCCTCCGTGTGACCCTCACAAGGCCAGCTGGTGGCCGGTTCCTGGCCCCAGACCAGCTGTGGTGCCCCCCCGGCCCGGGGCCTCTGCGTCTGGGCTCCTGGTCACCCAGGCTGTGTCCTGGGCCGAGTCTGGCAGGTCCCTCCTGGAGCCCCAGGCCAGCCCCCCTCCCAGTTGGATGGCGCAGCAGACAGGTCTTCTGCACAAGAGGAGCTCCTCTCAGCGCCAGCCTATGGTCGCCTCTCAGGGACAGGCCCTGCTGCGTCTCTCCAAGGAGCACCTGCCACCAACAGAGATCACCTGAACATCCATGGGCAGCTGTGTTTTCCTAGTCTGGGAATGAGCCCACAGCCTCTGCTTTGCATGCCATGCTCAGTCCCTGCTGGCGTCTCCAGGTGGGGCTCGGAAAACTCCTGCCTGACACCCCAGAGACCCACTGAGCTAGGGGGCCGATCCCTTGGTATAAGGCAGTTTCCCACTTGCCCACTTTTTGCTCCTGCCACCTGCTCCTGCAAGGACACGTTGCCTCCAAGGTCTTTGCTGGAAAATGTTGCCACTCACTCAGGCCTGGCCACGGCTCTTGCATTTATTATCTGCTGACTATGGTACCTCCGTGGCACAGCAACAGTTCTCAGACCACGTGGGATGGGGCTGTGCTGGTGCCCCTCCTTGAGGTTAATCTGGCATGTGCCCCTCGCCTGACCCCAGGGCCACTGAAGGAGCTCCTGCCCAGGCTAGCCTCCCCCCACTTGCATTCTTCCACAATGTGGGCTGGAAGGGCCCAAGAAGTGACCCACTCCGACTCCCCCCACCTGCCCAGGGTAGAACCAGTCACCCACCACGCTGGCCAAGAGCCAAAATGACCTGCAGAGAAGCCCGAGTGCATGTGTCATGCCACAGGCACCATCCTGTGCAAAGAGCACATGGCATAAGCATTTGCCAACCTTGGTGGGCACCCAGTGTGGATGGGCTGCTTCTGGAGAGAACTGTAGTGGAAGTTATAGTATATGCTTTGCTAGATCTCCTATCCAGTCTTAGAAACTCACCAGGCATGTTTTGCGACTGGTGCGCGTCTAACTGCGGCGACCATGTGGAGATCCCTGGATGCCGGGTTGGTGAATGAGGAAAGCCAAATGTCACTTAGAGAAGGATGTGAAATATTTTCCTTGAAGCTTGAATCTGTTTTATTCTGGATTGTTTTATTTGATTTTTAACGTGTTGTAAACTGCTTTGAGATTTGTTATTTATAATATAAAGTAGTATATAAATTAGGGACGCTGGTGGCGCTGTGGTCCAAACAACTCTTGGGCTTGCCGATCAGAAGGTTGGCGGTTCGAATCCCCGCTACAGGTTGAGCTCCCGTTGCTCGGTCCCAGCTCCTGCATACCACCGGTGGGGGGCAGTGCCTGGGTATCTCATTGTGGCAACCGTAGCCTAGGTTTAAGGTGCCATTTGGGCAATTCGATTATATATCTGAATTTCTATCACTGGTTAGCTCTGATAATGCAGGCATTCTTTTCCTCTGAGAGTGCAACTTAATTTCTATGCATGTGTACAGCTAAGATGAAGGAATGACTCCATCTAAGCTGTGCAAAGTGACAGGCCTTTGGACTCCCCTTCTGTGGCCCCCAGCAGCCAGAGTTATTCTGGCCAAGTCAAGCATTACAACGGTGTGTTTACTGAAGACACTCGCACAGAACCCCGGGTCAGGGGGGGCGAGGCTCACCTGCTCTTAAATCTCAACCAGTCCTGAGGCCAGAGGGAAGCCACGTGACGTGTGCCCAAGTGATCCACACTCCGTACTTTCTTTGGAAGAATATTTAATTCTCTGGCATGTAAAAAAGAAGCAACCCTGTACAAAAAGGCTTAGTGCAAAGCACCGCAGGCAATGCAACACAGGCCTGCATCTAGCTGCGCGTTCCTCTCCCACAGAGAGCGGCTCAGTTCAGGGAGGAAGGGGGAGATTCTTGGCCGCATCCAGCTGGCGCCACCTGAGAAAAGGGCAGAGGAGGAGGAGGCATCTTCCACCGCTCTGCGCCCCCCACCCCCAGTGCAGCCGGGAGGGGGCTCACTTGCCCAGCAGAGCAGTGACCTCGCGCAGATGCTCCCGCACCACCTGGTCCAGCACGGCGTAGACGTCCTTGCAGGCCTTGCTGGCGGCTTCCATGATGCGCTCCAGGTGGTCCTCGTGCAGCCGGGCGTTCATCTCCAGCAGCGCAATCTGCTCCGACTTGGGCAGCAGCGCCAGGGCCATCTGGGGGCCGCCGGCCGCCTCCTCCACGTAGTTCAGGTCGGCCAGGGGCGTGTCCTCCAGGAAGCCGGCCGAGATGGCGCAGACGTAGTCCCGCATGGGGATGCCGGCGTCAATGACCGCCAGGGTGGCCGCGTTCACCGAGGCGCAGTAGTTGCCGCCGTCCGCCTGCAGGATCTGGAAGGCGCAGGAAAGGCTTCCTCAGGACCCGGCAGAAGGAGCCCCTCCCCACCCAAGGTCCCCAGCCAGAGCCGGACCCTCAGGCACCCAGCACACCCGGGGAAAGGGCACCCACTGCCCACAGCTACGTCTTGCGGGGGGAGCGAGGAAAGAGGCAAGGAGGCGTCAAGGGCTATTGGACTTTGCAAAGCTGGGGTCACTGGATCAAGCTCGCCCCTCTTGTTGAATTAATTAAACTGAGTAATTTTAATTGGATTTTGAATCAAAGTGCAATTAATTGTTACTGTTTTGAATTCTATGACGTTATTTTCCTTAGCGGGTTCTGCAAAGTGCTATTCTGAATTATGCTTTTTACAGAGTTATGGTGATGATAATAATTTATTTACAGGGAGGTAGCCGTGTTGGTCTGCCGTAGTCGAAACGAAATTTAAAAATTCCTTCCAGTAGCACCTTAGAGACCAAGAAGTGTGCATGCACATGAAAGCTCATACCAATAACAAACTTAGTTGGTCTCTAAGGGGCTACTGGAATTTTAATAATTTATTTATTATATGCCACCCATCCGACAGGGTGGATATTATATTATTAGATTGTTATTATTATTCTATTACTTATATGCCCCTCATCCGACTGGGTTGCCCCAGCCCCTCTGGGAGGCTTCATACAAATGGGAAGGATGAGTCCTACCTAATTAATTAGGGTGGGGGGCACTGGGATGGATTTGTGGGACCAAGGTACCCCCCCCCCAAGTTTGCTGCTCTCTTGCAGTGTTTCCCAACCTTGGGCCTCCAGCTGTTTTTGGACTACAACTCCCATCATCCCTGGAGGGGCTGCACCATCCCCCCCAGTCTCCCGGGGGGGCCTTCCAGCCACGGGACCCCCCCGCCGCCCCCCCCGCTCCCACCTGCACGTAGATGTCGATCTGCGAGCGCGGGTAGAGCTGGGTGAGGATGGCGGCGTCGAAGGTCTGCTTGAGCTGCAGGCTCATCTCGCCCGCCTGCCGGTCGCCGTGGGGCCGCCGCTTGCGCTCGCCGGTGCTGAAGGTGGCCAGGCTGAACTGGCAGTTGAGCAGCGCCTGGTCGGGCAGCGCTTTGCCGCGGGAGCCGCGCATCTGCGGGAGGAAGGAGAAGGAGGAGAGGAGAGCCCTGCGCCCTCGGGCCCCGCCATCCCGCCATCCCGCCCCGGCCCTCCGCCCGCCCGCCCGCCCGGCCTGCCTACCTCGTGGGGCCCGTAGACGACGGCCAGCGCCTTGGTGTTGCCCTGCTCCAGGTAGGCCGAGCCGTCGGCCTGCGCGAAGACGCCCAGCCGGGCGCGGATCTGGCGCAGCTCCCCGGCGCGCCGCCCGTCCACGCGGTAGCCCTGCTCCGACAGCAGCTCCAGCCCCGCCATGAGGAGGCAGCCGGAGGAGGAGGAGGAGGAGGAAGCCCGGCCCCGCTCCGCCCCCTCGCCGCCTCCCTCGCCACGCGGGGCGCAAGCGGCTCCCGAGGGTTGCGCGCCCCCCCAACAAGCCGCGAAGCGGGGATCGGGGATTGACCCGGCCAGGAAACGGGGTGGCCGCCGGCGCCTGAAGTTTCTGCAGGGCGCCCCCCGTCGGGGCGGGGGCACGAACCGCCTTTCAGGGCATCAGCTCTCTCGGCCCGTCGGGGGGGAGCGTTGAAGGGGCGCCTGGAGCCTCCCGGTCCCGCTCGGGTTCGCAGGAGGGAGCGGGGATGGGGGTCTCCCAGGCGAGGAGGGGGCCGCGATTCCGATGAACTCGCTTCCTGGACGGCAGTTGCACGACTGTTCGACTGGGGGTGAGGCGGCGCCCCCCCCTCGCCTCGCCAGCGCCCCCTTCCCTTCCCTGCCCGAACCCGTCCAACGAGTCAGGCGGCAGGAGGAGCTTCCCGAGCGGAGCTCTCGGCCAGGGGCGCGCCGTCGAGCCAGTCGGCTGCCGGCCGAGTCTCCTCCCCGTGAGGCGCTAGAGCCGGGCTGCGGGGACCCCGGGCTTTCTGCCCCCCTCCCTCGGCCGTCCCTTCGATCCCCGTCGGCTCCGCTCCCTTCTCCCCGCCGCCCGTCCGGCGGGCGCTCCGTCGGGCCATGGCTGCGCCCGGCAAGTTCCAGTTCGCCATCGACCGCGGCGGCACCTTCACCGACGTCTTCGCCCGCTGCCCCGGAGGGAAGGCGCGCGTCCTGAAGCTGCTCTCCGAGGACCCGGCCAACTACCGCGACGCGCCCACCGAGGGCATCCGCCGCGTCCTGGAGGAGGTGAGGCGGTCGGGGCGCGGGGCAGAGAGCCGCCCGGGCGCCTGGCAAGGACGCGCCTTCGGGTTGCCTCTGCCAAGAAAGCGGCAGCAGCAGCAGGAGGAAAGGATTGTGGCCCGGAGGAAGCAGGAGCTCTTGCAAGCCCTTCTGCAAGGAGAGGCGGCCCTGGAGAGCCCCCCAGCCCTACTGTGAGGCTAGTTGAAGCCCCCCAGCCCCAGGCATAGGGGAGGGGCTTCGCAGAGGGCGACCAGGATGCCCAACAGCTCTTCCAGCAGTTGGGGTGCCATCCCAGAAAAGGCCCTGCTCCCTGCCCACCTGAGGGCACCTGGAGGAAGCCCCCGAAGACCATCTCAGCTGCTAGACGGGGGTCTTAAAGAGGGGCTTTAAAGGCAACCCTTAGATGGATGCCAGCCCCCCTGGAGAGCCACCTGCTGCCAGTCAGTGTAAGGCACTGGTGTCCCAGCTGTGCATTCCCTGTGTGGGGAGTCGGAGCCATGGGTCTGGACAGCAGTGCCCTGGTGGGCAGGTGGGTGTCCTCCCCTGGCTGCTATGGTCCTCCTGGGGGGCTGGAGGGGGCTGGTTCTTTGCTTCTCAGAGCAGGAGTGCCCCTTAGGAGCTTAGTCCAAAATATGACAGGAGCACCTTCCAAACCATTATGCGCAAGGGCTGTGCAGGAGCTTTTCCTGTCCTCTTGTCCTGTGTGTGTGTTCAGCCTGGCAGGCTGTGACGGACGCTTTGCTCCCCCCCAGGAATGTGGCGTCCCCTTCCCCAAAGACCAGCCCCTGGACACCTCGCGCATCGAGTGGATCCGCATGGGCACCACGGTGGCCACCAACGCCCTTCTGGAGCGCAAGGGGGAGCGCCTGGCTCTGCTCATCACCAAAGGCTTCAGGGACCTGCTACACATTGGCAACCAGGCGCGGCCGCACATCTTTGACCTGGTCAGTGCCGGGTCTCTCCCCCGCCTTCCTCTGTGTTCAACGGGAGAGGGGGCTTGGCCGTCCCCTTCTGCCCTCAAGAGGCAGCGGTCTGGACTCCAGCCTGTGCCAGCCTGTGCCACCTTCCTGGGCAGCCTGGAGGGGTGGGCGGGTGCTGTGCCACTCTCGGGATTGGCTGGCAGCGCTGAAGCGTTCCTGCTGGCTGGGCATGGGGGGGGCATGTGGGAACAGCTTAGAGGTCCCTCGGCAGAGCCGACTGGGCAGCCAGCCAGCTGGGAAGGGGGGGCTTTGCTGCTGGTTTCCATAGAGGCTGGAGAAGGTGCTTTCCTGGCAGGCTGGGGGGGGAGCAGAGACGGCTGCCATGCGCTGGTGCCCCCACCCCTGGCTGCCTTGAGCATCTCCCTCCCTTCCTGCCACCCCAATCTCTGCTGCTCACTCTGGTCTGGGCCCTCCCTCCCCTGCTGGCAAGTTCTGCGAAGAATCTCAGTGGAGCAGCACATTTTTCATGGCTGGGCTTGCCCTCAAATGCCCTAAATTCTTCTTGTGCCCCATCTTGGGGGGGGGGACCAAGGAAACAGGATAGAATCATGAACTTGCAGATTTGCAGGAAGAATCTCTGAAGGACAGCCATAGCCATAGGGCCATAGCTCAGTAGCAGAGCATCTTCCCTGCATTGATCCCAGGCGTCTCCAGGTGGGGCTGGGAGAGACCTCTGGAGAGGGGCTACCGGCCAGAGTAGGCAACACTGAACTAGATGGACCAACAGCCTGGCACAGTTTCCTATGCTCTTAGCTTGGTCGCTGACAGGAGCCAGCGCATGAAAGCTCAGCTCAGAGATCTGCTCTGGTTGCTGATTGCTCCTGAGCCAAGTTCAAGGTTTTGCTTTTCATTCACGAGGCCATTTGGTGCTTGAGGGGCTGCCTTGCCCACCTGGCAGCTTTGCCCTGGGGAGCCAGGCCTCCTGCAAGCACCACCCGATGTGGCTCCACGGAGGAGGCTGACCTGCACTTGGCATTCTGGTTACACGCACAGGAACATGTTGCAGGGAGCAGCGGCAGCCGTGTGTGGCACCAAACCCAACACGTTTATGACGGCGAAGTCCCCCCCCCCAGCAGATGGAGGAGGAGCCAGTGGTTGTGATCCCAGGGTTGCGGGGGTTGGACTAGATGACCCACGGGACCCCTTCTGAATCTGCATTTCTGTGGTTCTGTGGAAGGGGTGCACATCCCTCTCCCGGCCTGCGAGTGAGGATGTCCGTCCCCCTAATAATAATAATAATAATAATAATAATAATAATAATTTATTAATTATTTATACCCCACCCATCTGGCTGGGTTTCTTCAGCCGCTCTGGGCAGCTTCCAACAGAATATTAAAATACAATAACCTAGTAAACATTAAAAGCTTTCCTAAACAGGGCTGCCTTCAGATGTCTTCTAAAAGTCTGGTAGTTGTTTTTCTCTTTGACATCTGTTGGGAGGGCGTTCCACAGGGCGGACGCCACCACCCAGAAGGCCCTCTGCCTGGTTCCCTGTAACTTGACTTCTCGCAGCGAGGGAACCGCCAGAAGGCCCTCGGAGCTGGACCTCAGTGTCTGGGCAGAACGATGGGGGTGGAGACGCTCCTTCAGGTCTACAGGACCGAGGCTGTTTAGGGCTTTCAAGATCAGCACCAACACTTTGAATTGTGCTCAGAAACATACAGTAATCTGCCTGTGACCCCCCCTCTGCCACCCCCTCCTTCTCCCCAGGCCGTCTCCATGCCAGACCTGCTGTACGAGGCCGTGCTGGAGGTGGACGAGCGCCTGGTCCTCCATCGCGAGGGATGCCAGCTCTACGGCTCAGCCCCCAAAGTCACAGGTGGGAGCTCCTCCCCAGCAGGGGCACTGCTGCCTCCATCTGCCCCAGAGGGCTGGCTCTGTGGGGCTGTGTAAGGATGATGCAGGGAGGGTCTCCCAGACAGGGGTTCACCTGGCGGTTCTCTTCCTCTCCCCCCCCCCCAGGTTTGACAGGGGAGTCCCTTGTAGTGCACCGGCCGTTGGACCTAGATGCCCTGCGAGGGCAGCTGGAGGGGTTGTTGGCCCAGGGCATCCGCAGCCTGGCAGTGGTCCTTCTGCACTCCTACATGTGAGTTCTGCTCCTGAGGTGGGAGGAAGTCTTGCGCTGTGGGTTGAGGGTGTGGGGCTGCCCCCAGGCATGGAGGGGAAGGCAGTTTCTCACCTGAGACTGGGGGCAACCTATAATAATATGAATCATAATTTATTATTTATACCCCACCCATCTGGCTGGGTTTCCCCAGCCACTCTGGGCGGCTCCCAACAGATTAAAAACAGAATAAAACAACAGACGTTAAAAACTTCCCTGAACAGGGCAGCCTTCAGATGTCTTCTAAAAGTCTGGTAGTTGTTGCTCTCTTTGACATCTGGTGGGAGGGCGTTCCACAGGGCGGCACCACCACCGAGAAGGGCCCTCTGCCTGGCTCCCTGTAAACTGGCTTCTCCCGGCGAGGGAAACCACCAGAAGGCCCTCGGGCTGGACCTCAGTGTCCGGGCAGAATGATGGGGGTGGAGACCTCCTTCAGTAACTGGGCTGAGGCTTTAGGGCTTTAAAGGTCAGCAGCAAACTTTGAATTGTGCCGGAAAGACAGAAGGCCTTCGGCGGCTACCCCAGTTTCGCGCATTGGATTAGGTGTTCCGGGTCAGAAACCCTTTACAAATCTAACCAAAGGTCTAGAGATCTCTCCAATTAGACCTGGCAAAAATAACTCTGTTTTTTTTACAGAAATTATATTTTAAATATCTTTTTTTAATTCATTGTAAATTATATACCAATAAGTTTTCACCCTAGTACACGTCCACCACATATGGAGGAAATTCCCCTCCTTCTCCATACAGTTCCAACAATTTCTATCTTGATTTCTATACATTTTTGCAAGTTTGGACGGTGTCACCTTCAAAGGTAGCCCCACGTAGAGTGCATTGCAGTAGTCCAAGCGGGAGATAACCAGAGCATGCACCACTCTGGCCAGACAGCCTGCGGGCAGGGAGGGTCTCATCCTGCATACCAGATGGAGATGGGAAACAGCTGCCCTGGACACAGCCTAGTTCCTCTCCAGCCCCAGAGCCTTTATTCGCAACCCACATCCAGCCCGTTGCCAGCAGAAACCGGCAGGCAGGCCAGCTAGGCAGCCTCAGCAGAAAAAGGAAGTGCAGTCGTGGAACTGCAGAGCTGGAAGGGATCCCAAGGATCACCAGATCCCCTGCAAGGCAGGAATCTTTTACTTGGGGCTCAGACCCATAGCCCTGAGATTAGAAGTCTTGTGCTGAGCTGTGTTTACATTGGCAAACAGCGGAAAAGCTGAATGTTGGAAGATTCAGGGCGGAGGAAGAAAGCCTGTCTTCACGCAGCGCAGAGTCCGACTCTGGAACTTGGTCCTGCAGGAGGGATGAGAGGAGGATAGGCCCGATTCATGGAGGAGGAGGAGGAGGAGGCCTTGCAGAGCGCCCAGCCGGGATGGTGATGCTCTGCCCCCTGGCCAGAGGCTGGCATGCTTCTGAATCCCAGTT